AAATCTTTTTGTTCCCTCCCTCTACTACTACATGTTACTCAAAACTGCCTTATAGCTTTTATCATGGAGCTAATCATTGTAATATGTTTTATCATGTTTCAGAGATGCACCAGGACAATCATCAACAATTCAGCCAGGACAGGTTATAAGGCAGACTGTGGCAGCATGACATTTCTTGCTTTCAGTGTTGTTGTTTAAGACATTTTAATCTGTTTTTCAGATAGTAATATCTGATGCTGAGGATCTGGATCCACCTGAAACAAATCCAGAAAAACCGTCTTGCTACAGGTAAGTAAAAAAAAAAAGAAGATAAAGACATAATTTAAATTTATTTAACTGATTACATGGGATTTTTGTTTGTAAGATGTTTTAACATTGAAATGGTAATTTCCCAACAGTAAATACACAGACCTGTTTTCACCAAATGTTGAGCAAGAAGACGAAGAGCCGGTTGCTGTCAATGTGACGAATTTTCAACACACAGCAATGTAATATGACAGCTTTTGACTATAGCACTCCAGTTTTTTCACTGTACAATAGTTCTGGTATATCCACAAATGAAGTCACTTTTTGTCATTACAGGGAGGAGACGGGCATTACATTACCTGACATCGTGGCAAACCTGTCACTTCCTATTGATCACAAAAAAGTCAGCCGGTTCAACATCTCAAGGGCTAACTTTTGGGATGGGGCAGTCAGAGGTTTCAAGCGTACAACCTATTCTGAAACCTGTGACATGCTGGTGAAATTTACTGATGATACTGGTGTTCTGGAAGAGGGAATTGACACTGGTGGTCCAAGACGAGAGTTTTTGACTCTACTGATGAAACACCTAAAAGACCGGCCCATTTTTGATGGACCAGAAGGACATCGGTTCAGTTGTGCATGGAGGTCCAGGGCCCCATTTCCTGTCGGAAGATCTTGTACATTATCTTGCAGGCCAGCCTTCATTCAAAGCAACAAATAACTTAATAACTGATGAAGAAATAGGGAAAGCTTTGCAAGAGGTGAGAGTAGCATAAGGCTAGGGTATGGTAGTGCAGAATTTTACATAGTACCTGCAGTGTTTTGAGACAATGTTTACTTTCTATATCGCGTGCAGAATTTAATTAATTAATTTATTAGTTTTTAATAGTGTAAGATTACACCATGCTATGTATGTCATTAAAAAATAGGCAAGGAGATACAGTGCACACAGTTATTGACAGGGGTGTTTATGCCCATTGTCACGTCTTTCAGATTGAGAATGCTGCTTCATTGGATGCTCTGCAAGAATGTATGATGAGACACAGCACAATGTTACAGACAGCAGGTTGTCTGAGACATGTGGCTACTGTGGAAGAAAAGAAAGAAATCGTGTCAGACTACCTCCAATGGTATATTATTGACCGCAACTCATCTGTAATTGAAAGGTAAGATGATATTTGTAGTGATGATTTTCTTTTTTTTATGAATTTATATACAAATTTTCTAGTTTGAAATGCCTCATGGTCCCCATCTTTGGTTTATGCAGGCATGTATATCTGTTATCAATTTGTCACTGTGACAGAATTTGTACCTTAGTGTATTTCAACTGATATGTGATGTTCCTTCATTCTGTCAAACTACAGTGCCTTCATTAAGTCTTCTCACCTTTTATAGATGTAATTTAAAATATATATTAATCCTTTTCCTCATCAATCTACACAATACATCATAATGACAAAGCAAAAACAGAAATTAGATCTCAAGATTCTCCTCCTGACTAATTCTTCCATAGAGGAAAATCAGTCCAGTTACTCATTAAAGTGATCTGAATCTATTTCTGACCCCAGTTCTCATAGAGATCATGACATGCAAAGATGTTTTAGTATCTCTTGTGTGTGTCCCTGAAAATCAGATATAAAGAGTGTGGTGATGTTGATGGGTGTGTAAAGCTGTAGCTTCATACACGAGGAATCCAGGCAGGAATTACTTCCAAAGGTGCTTAACCCTAAAACAGTCTTTTTTTTTGGGGCATAAGAATGATTTTTTTTCATCAAATCCTTATCACTTATGACAGCCTGGTCTGTCTTGAGTCTGCTGGTCACATGATGTTTTTTCAAATTTTTTGTGATCAATTAGTCAGCCTGACCTAAATAAAACATGGCTGCCAGTGGTGCAGAACAATCAAATTTTAGAAATAGTAAATATATATATTAAACTAACTTTTCTCCTGGGGAAATTTTTTAAAATAATGCTGACACTAATTGTAAACATTGTATTAAGGTGCTGAAGGAGAAATTAAAATTAAGTAATATGTTGTTCATGTTGTTATTTAGTAGTTGTTATTTATGTTTTGAAATGTATGTGACTCCTGAGTCACGTTGCCTGTTTAGGGTATAAAAAAGGAATTAATCTATCTCTATTTAAAATGCACTATTCAAACTTAAATGATTGTAATTCAACAATGCTATGGAATATAGACCTAAGTTTGGTCTTGTTTTAACGAAAACAGTGAAAGTATGAAAATGTTATGGAAGTTTAAACTTGCATTAAATCAAATATACTATTTTTTTTTCCCCCCCATTTTTTATAGAATATGTATTTAAAAAATATTTATTACAATAAAATCAAAGCCATATATATAACAAAGTTGTGTTCCAAATTGAAGTTGAAAAAATAGCCACCGGGTGAATAATTGTATGCACTCTGCCATAACAAATTAATAAAGTTATGTCGAAATATCACTTTTGTCACAAAATATGTAACCTTGAGACTTAGACCTTTCTGACAATGTCTTTTGTCAAGATAAAAAAAGGTTTTGATCATAAATTATGAAACATGACGATGCCCAAAAGGGGAGGAGCCCATTAAAAGAATTTAGAATACCGATTCTATAGTTACGCAACGTCCAATTTCAAAATGGGTTTCACAGGCTGTCTCGAGTTCGTAAGCTTTCGAATGATCTATCATTTGTCAACATTAGATCTGGTGTAAACATGCAGTAACAGTCAACAGATTAATGACTTGGTCCTTTTCCTGAGTCAGGCAAGGTGACTCAGGAGTCAACTCATAAAATCCAAAAATATATCTAATTGTTTTTTAATTCTTTTGGATATGTTTTATTTAAGTCCAGATGATATAAAAAATTACTAGAAATTATTTTTTGCTTAGCATTTTCCACTCTTGCCTGTATGTTCATTAACTTGTGTGAATGTGATATTTAAGTTTTTAATTTTTATCAAATTTGCTACAATTTCTAAAAACCTAATTTTGCTTTGTCATGATGATGTATTGTGTGTGTAGAGTGAGGAGGAAAAAGATTGATATTACTATTTGAAATTGATTATATAATGCAACAAAGTTTTGAAAATGTGCAAGGGGTGTGTAGACTTTCTGAAGGCATCGTATGAGTGCTCAAGCCACCCAGCTGTCTGTCATTCCAGTCTTTTGTTTCTGTGTTATACTCAGTTTGTAACAATTAACATTTAATGTGCAACGCAAAAATAGGGTTTCTTAAATTAATTTAACATAATTTTTTCCCCCAAATGTATGTTTAAGGTGGATATTAATTGTAGAGAAGAGAATATTTAATAGTTTTCTTTAGATAATTTAAATTCAATTGGCCCTACACAGCAGTGAAATGTTTTTGTTCACTCTGTAGATTCAGAGATGGTCTTTCAACCCTGGAGTTTTTGAATGCACTACAGCAACACCCTACTTTGCTGGCCCCTGTCCTGTACCACTCTGAAAGTCGAATCACTGCTTCTGAACTTGAGAGACTCTTCAAAACTGACCTCAGTCCTTCGGGGAGTAATCGAAGACTTAAAGAAAGTCAAACCATGGCCTACTGGGCAGACTATCTCCTTGATTGTGAAGGTTTGTTAGTTCATTTTTTGTATAACTAGTTAAGAAAACACATGGCAATGATGTATCTGAATTGTTTTTTTCTTTGCAGAAGACCAGGCTGCTGTGTCTGTGGAAGATGTTTTGATGTTTGCTACTGGGCTGTCCTCACTTCCCCCATCTGGCTTGGAACCACTGCCACAAATAGAGTTCCTGGATGACTCTGTGTTCCCAATGGCAAATACATGTTCAAACACTTTGAAATTACCACTCCTAGACTCATACACTTTGTTTAAGTCACAAATGGACTTTGGAATTCAAAATAGTCCAGGATTTGGCTGTTTCTAAGCTATACGATGGATGACCCCTAGAGTTAAGACTCTGAAACGCATGACCAGCGTGAGCCTACGTGTGACGTACAACAGAAGCGCTGCGTTGTTACACTACGCAAACTCACTCGAGGCACAGCGAAGGAAATTAATAGTTGAATGAAGTCGTTATTTTTGTTTGTTTTTGCGCACAAAAAGTATTCTCGTCGCTTGATAAACTTAAGATTGAGTCACTGTAGTCACTCGGACTATTTTAATTATATCTAATAACTTTTCTGGGCCAGCAAGTTTCGATCCCTTAGAAGCCTATGGAGGAGTGATCCAGCTCTCAGATTTAATCAAAAATATCTTAATTTGTGTTACGAAGATGAACGAAATTCTTATGGATTTGGAACAAGATGAGGGAGAGTAATTACTGACAGCATTTTCATTTTGGGGGAACTATCCCTTTAAAAGTGCAGTTGCCAAGTTGTTTTTATAATGTTACAGTATGTGAGCAGATTGTTCTTTTCTCAGTTAACATTTTGAAAATGTTTTAGATCCATGACTCTCAAACTGGGATCTCTTTGTGAATCACTTGTTTTAGATAAAGAAACAAGAAAATTTATTGTTTCTTTACTACAAAGTGTAATAAATGCTCATTACTATTTTTGACTCATTTGATTAATTTACTTCACACTTAAAAACAATTAAGCTTTGAGTGACAGATTCATAAATATTGTGTTCAGACAGGCAGCAGTGTTTCACCACTTCAAAAAAAACCTTTTTGATCATTTCATAGCTGAGCCATTTCTTTTAGTTTCATATACAGTTCTGATGCAGACTCCCAGTTCTCCGGCTTCTGTATCTTATTGTGTTCCATGGCAAAGTCCAAGTATTCCTGCATGTTTGGGTCCCCACAAGGAGTCATTGACAGGCTGGCCTCAGGAAGGGCATCCAGTTCAGCCTGTTCCACTTGAAATCCGCAGTCTCTGGAGCCAAACCTATGTTAAATAGAGAACATAATTGCAGTTCTTTTCATCTAAGTTAAAACATTATATTAATATTATGATCTGTTTATTACCTGTGTGGTAAGTAGTAGAGTTCATTGGGCATTCCTCCTGGACATGCTGCTGTTCTGGAAGGGCGAATCCTGTGACTGTTCCACAGTCTCACACACTCATCCAGGTCCTTCTGAATAACATCACCAAAGCAATATCTCAATAGGCACTGATGCTCATGACTCCCGTTGAAGTATCCAGCATCTCTAAGGTCTGCAAATAACTCCATCCAGAACTGAGACCTATAGAAATGGATAAAAATGTTTACTTATACTATCAAGTATATACACATATGTTTGAATAATGAAATCAAAGGTTAGTTGTAAAGAAATGTATGGTCTGTGAATCTTTTGGCCATTCAATTTTCTTTTCAGGAACAACTACTTTTCCTGACGGGCAGGACTTGCTTTACATTTTTTATAGATCTTTATTGTGCTCGTTTTTCATTACTCGTTCCCAAGAAGAAAACCCGAAAGACCAAAGATTCAATGACCCTATATGAAGACAACTCACCTTCCCTTTCTAAATATAGACCACCAGACTCAATACGCTGGTTATTTACAGATGAGCCGTACATGTGGCTGGACGCTCCAGAGTAGTAGTCACTGTGATGGTGGCGTAGGGTACATTGAATTGCAGCCATTATGCCGTTCTCAGTGCCGCAATCAGTCCTCAGTCTCATGGGGATGACACCGAGGTTTCGCACACATGACTTGAAATATTGAGCAATCACTGTTGGGTTATTATTTGTTGGTCCACATTCAAGCCACAATACTTTACGTGAAAATCCATCTATGCATCCCGAAATGGCCAAACCGAATGGCTTAAGTTTGTCGTAACCATCTGCGTGCCACATATAGTTAGGTCCCATTGAGTGATAGGTTCTTCTTGTAAACCTTCTGCGTACTCTGCTCTCACACCCTCGGGGATTGAGCTCCCAGAGGAAATTCATCACATCATCTCTCTTCACTCGAAGATTGTACTTTTGTTTAAGTACCTGCCACATCGTGCGGTAGCCAAATAGTTGTCCAGGTCCACGAAGTTCAGATCTGATTGCGTTACTCACGGCGTTTGGAGAGGAATAATCCTTTCTGCGGTACATCCCGGCTTCGTTCAGTTTACTTTTAAGCGTCCTCAAGCTGATGTTTACACCGTGTAGACTTGACATCATGTCCACGATTACAGCGTACGAGTGGCCCTCGTTAAAATACTGAACGCAATGATGCAGTCCCTCGGTCGCAGTCCATGTTCGGTCACCAAAAACTTAAATTCCTATATGCTTCATATTCACGCCATATTCTCCACATTGAAAACACGAATTAACCGCGCTCACCAACACACCTATTACCCGCGTTCACTCGTCACTTCCGGTATGTGGTACATTCCCTTTCCGTGAGGGATCGATCGTTTGTAAATTTGTTTCGGGACGAGTAAAAGTGTTTTGCGTCTTGCTAATTTGTATTCTAAAATGTAAATTTGTTTTGTCCTTGGTAAAGTGTTTCGCCCATGTAATTGTGTTTTATGGTAGGGTAAAAATGTTTTCCAAAATGTAACTTTGTCTCAAGCTTTGCAAAAGTGTTTCAGTCTTTGTAATGTTGCTTTGCACTTCCCGGCCACCGTACATTTACCATTCATTTATCAAAATTTTAATTTAATTAATGAAACTCCCATCAGCCTCAGCTATACTGTTGTGGCTATGTTAAATAACAATGTTAGCATGCTAATATGCTAAACTAAGATGCTGCTGTGATCTGCTAAACATCAGCATTCTAATATTTACATTGTGAACATGTAACATGCTGATGTCAGCATTTTGCTTAAAGCACTGCTGTGTCTCAGTAAAGACTCACAGAGTAACAAGCTTGGCTGTAGAGTTTTTGTTAATAGGGCGTCTACATTTTCTAATAAATGGGTGTATTCACACCTTTCACACCTTGTTTGGTTCAATTTAATCAAACTCAGGGTTTGTTTCCCCCTTTGGTGCAGATCTTTTGGGCAGGTGTGAATACAGCAATTGCACTTAACCAGCTGAAGTGGTCCTCTTGGTTCTGGTTCTCAACAAACGGTTCATTTAAGGTGTTAACATGGCCCAACCTCGATCTGACCCAATTGCAGAAAGCACTGTGCCTTTTTTGGAGTCAACACGCTCTTGTGGTCTGTGCAGATTGCATCTTTAATTACACTGAACTACCTCATATGACAGACAAATCTGGAGACACATTTGTGCCTAGGCAGAGTGTAACGGTCAGATTTTTTATTATGTAATTAGGGATGATGAAATGGCTAAAAATGAAATTAAATGAATTAGTGATTACACTACACATAGCTGTAGGCAGTAATGTTAGCAGTAATAATTTCTGATGTAATAATCTGTTGATCTGGTAGTATGAACACAGCCTCTCTCAAACTTTATACCTGATCCGTCTTCTGTGCAGTGCCACTGTCAGCATGCCATGGTATGCCATATGCCATAAGAGCATGCTCTTTCCGCCGGAGCTTAAATATAGTATAGTTTGGTTTTTGAATCGAAAGCTTCCTGCGTTTCCCTGCTCCACAATTTCTGTCCATTGAATGGATGACCTTAGCACACATGGTTTTGTTTACAAATTCTGGTTCACTTGTAAAAAGTGCAGTGTGAAAGCGAACCGCGACCAAACAAATAATCAACAATGTATTTGGTCCGGACCAAAGCAAGTGAACTAACAGACATTCATGGGCTAAATGCTCTTTCCTCCAGTACTACCACTAAGGAGGACAATATCCTAGTGCTCATGGCTGGCAGATATTTTACCTACATTTTTTTCTAGCATGAACAGAACACTTGCCATCTGGTTCAAAGCAGGTCACATAGATAGTTTTCTAACAATGAAGCTTACTTAGCCTCACAAAAGATTGATGTTGGAAATTCAATTGCAGTGTTTTCCTGTAAAGCATAGGCTGTATAAAAAACAAGAGTCAAGAATAACCACAGTTATCTTTTAAGTCCTCATCAGTATGTCTACAGTACATTTTTAAACTGAAGCACTGACTTCATGGAGTATTACATCTCTATGGGAGGGGTAGGTGGTTGGTGCTGTGTGATGCATCCCCGTGTGTACACTTGAAGTGAAATTCCCTCTGTGTGGTGTGCCTGCCTGTGTAAGACACTGGTACACTAACAGCAAGGTCAGCTCTGGACAAATACAAGAACAACCTTCCTTCAGGCCAATCAATATGCTGCATCAATTAGGTGAGTGTGTGCTTCATTTTCAAGTTCTCTGAGCGCAGGTAAGGACAGTGACCCCTCTTACTAGGTAAATCAATGTTCATACTGTCTGTTTTCCACCCATCATCACATCTTCAGGGAACGTCGCAGTTCAATTTGTCCCCAGCTGCACCCCACACACTAGCTCTGGCTCTTTGTGCAACCTGCGGGCAGAAGAACTCCCCAATAAGCTAACAGAAAGATTAATACAGTATTTACGCTCCTTTTAGTTCAGTTTTTGGTCTCCACCAATTCCTGGTAAAAAATTTGAACTGCTAGATGTTTGACTTTCTTTATGGGCTAATCAGTTAATTTGTCTGCTGTTTGGTGTTTTGGCAGATAAAGTGAGGTTATCAGAGTTTGTTTGCTGAAAAAAGGGGTTGATAAGGAAGAGTTGCAGAGTTTGATCAGTGGCAGGCCGTGGATTTTACATCTAGGCCTTCACTGCCATGCTCCCACACTTAAACTGCCTTTGAATAACCTCACCGATAACACTATGGCTATAGGCTATTTTCATTCAACATAACCACCCCATATTCACAGTGAAAGGAACTTTTATCGAGTGGAATAAAGTGATTTATCAGAAGACGTACTGTATAAGAGTTCAAATACACAAATTGCACAGACATCAAGGAGTCCTTGACAAAGACGTGCAGTATTTCGCTATTATAAGATCGATAGACAGACAGACTTTGACTAAGCAGAGAAAATTTCTATCAAAATATATGGCCCAGCTCTAGCAATGATACATAAAAATCAATAGAACTTAACAAAGCTGCTTCTTTCTTTAGAAATTGTTCAATGACACTGTTGTACAGTACATCGTTATGTTTCAGTTCCAATAAAAAGTCCCTCTCAATTGCCAAATAGGCCAATGCTGACAATTGATCCTGACCAGTCGTATTTTTTGAATAAGTTTTAATGCGTTTCAGGGCTGAAGGCAGTAGATACTGGGATGGTCACCACCAAACATCACAAGTTCCTGCATAGATCTTTCTGCTGAAGGAAAGTGAAGATGTCAGCAGGGCTTTTTCCTTCAAAACCAGTGATGGGAATAGCATACAATACAGTGAGTTCTGCTTTAAGCAGGGTCAAATCGAAGAGAGTTCCGTGGTCGGTGTTAAACTGTAGAAGGCCTCATCAGGGAATTTTAGCTAGTATGTCTGAAGCTGCTGAGGGTCAAGGAGGGAGACAAACATGACTTTCTCGTATTGTTTAAATCGGTTCCATGAAATTTTGCTGTCCCCCTGTGATTGGCCTCTCTGTGTACTTGACTCACCTGTTTTGCACACAGTAGATTCAGTAATCTCACCAAATGTCCAAGATGGTGCTGAATATAGCTGCCTCGGTGTTAGGTGTGCTTTGTTTTGTTTTGTTTTTGTGTGTTAATTCAGTTTTCGGCTGTGATTCGGCTGTGAACATCAGGGGAACAACTCCAACGGATTTAATTCCCACTTTCCTCGCGTCACCAGTGGAATTATTAGACATTTTGGTGAAGGGTTCTTTTGCTGTCGCCGCAGGAGAGGAAAAAGAGCCGGGTCGCTCATGCGTCTTCACTGGCGGGGACTCCGCACACCGCTATCAGCAATATTTCTCTCCAACATGCGCTCACTGTGCAACAGACTGGACGTACTTCAGCTTCTGGTGGGGAAAAAGAGACTTTTATTCATCTTCTGTTCTGTGTTTCACAGAGACGTGGCTGTGCGAGCTGATACTGGACTCCGCGCTGCAGCTGACTGGCTTCCAACTGTACAGAGTGGACTGCAACACAGAACTCTCCGGCAAAACAAAAGGTGGAGGTGTCTGTTTTTATATCAACAATGGCTGGTGTAGCGACATTACAGTGATTCAGCAGCACTGTTCTCCTAATCTGGAATTTCTTATCATTAATTGTAAACCATTACTCAGAATCAGAATCAGAAGAAGGAGAACCGTTACTCCCCCCGTGAGTTTGCTTCATTCACTCTGGTCGGTGTTTACATTCCGCCCCAGGCCAACGTTCAGGACGCACTGCGCATGCTGGCCGACCAGATACTGTGTGTGGAGCAGACAAACCCGGACTCCCTTGTTATTGTTCTTGGTGACTTTAACGGGGGAAATCTCAGCCAAGAACTCCCCAAATACAGACAGTTTATTAAGTGTCCAACCAGAGAGGAACACTTTGGATCACTGCTACACCATGCGCTCCACTGGGACACTCTGATCATGTGATGGTCCATCTGATTCCTGCTTACAGGCAAAAACTAAAGCTCTGTAAACCTGTAGTGAGGACATCAAAGAAGTGGACTAGTGAAG